ATACTTTGCAGCCCACCCTCAGAGCCCTCTTTCACTTTATAAGTTTATCACTGAGCCTCTGCCCCCATGTACTCAGATGTACACAGCATATAAGCACACACGTCTTCCCATTATTCCTCATATAAATAAAGGCATCTTATAATGCTAGAAAGATTGGGGACAGTGGGCCAGTAGTTTACCTTTTTGGTGAATGTTACATGGGCCAAACAAAACCTTGTGGCCCTGCTAGATTGGAACACAGCAAAGCCTCATTTTCTCTATCCACCCTGAGTTGTTAAATTCACCTTAAGTTAAATTCACCAAGGTAATGACACTGTTGATTTGCTTTGTGATTGGCATCTGGAAGCCTGACCTTGTTGACTTCTATGCCTTATGTATGGCTCACAGTGCTATATGGCTCACATGAATGTTTTGATTAAATAAGTTTCAGTTCTGCTTCATCACCGGCATTTGATTTATTCTAGGAATCTACCTTTACAGTTCTGAAAATACCCTCCATTATAGCTTCTAGAAGTGACTTAGTGCCCCAAACTGTGCCCTGAATAATTGAAATGCTTGACAAATGATAAGTTAAAACCTACGCTCTGGATGGGCCTAGCTTCCCTTTCTACCTCCAAAAGGAGGTATTTCTCACCTCCAAAGCTCAACCCACCACTAGGTCTTGCAATGGGAACCTAACCTATCTGGTTGGGCTTCCTCACTGTTCCAGAACACCACTTGTTCCATCCCACCTTAGTTTCCTAATGGGTTACCCCACTTACCTCTTCATTGTAAGAAAGGATGCGGGTCTGCAACTTACTGGGGAGCAGGGAGGGATGTTAAAATACTAGCAACCTTTGAATGCATCAAACACTATAGAGATCTGGCACCGTCTGTAGGTGGCTTACCAGGCATTGAAGTGGTGGGACAGGAAGTGAACCACAGTGCACATCACTCTCTTGAGAGTGTTAAGAAAATTATTAGGATTCTTGATTGTTCCTATTTACCAGGGAGAATCACTGTCCAAAATCATAAAACTGGAAGAAAGTGGTTTGCTAGTAAATGTTTAAGAAAGAGGTCTCTGGGGGAAAAAAAACCTGATTTGTAGCATTTACTTATTCAGTGATATAAATTCTCTGACCATGGTCAATTTTAAGCTACCAACATGGTATTACTAAATGCTTGGTTGAGATAAGATGCACACATTGAGTTCTCCTGAGTCAGCACTAGCCAGTTCCAGCATATCGCTGCAAAGAGGCCAGCTTTGCCCTTTGCTTCTTTCTGCTGGTTGGACAACTGTGAGACAGACTTAGCTTAAAGCCATCTCATCATCCGACACTGAACTCAGTTATGGAGAAAGGCTCCCCAGAGCATTCTGTGCACATACATGGCCCTTGGTGCCTCTCCTGCTTCGAGATCCACCTTTTCAAAGCTTTTCTAACACACCCTTGGTCCCAGCACCACTTCTGTTTAAGATAGTCGCTTAAATCGAGAGACTTTAAATCACATTAGTCCCATCTCTACACTCCACCACACTCCCTACCTCAATGTGTATAGTATGGACTTAATAAAGTCCTGTGCTTAACAGTTGTGTCATAAACCATAAGAGTTGATTCTGAAGCCTTTGCAGGAGGAACTCTCTGCCAGCTCCCATGCTCAAGGTGTGAGAGTGAGAAGGGGTATGGCTCAGGAGTGTGTTCTATGTCCACCACCTTCCAGGCAGTGAGGAGGGGACCTCCCATCCCAGCCCTTTCTGTCCACCCCACCAGTTTAAGGGTGTAGGGAGTCAGGGGGACCCTGGCCATTAGGAATAAGACTGGTCATTTTCAAAACATTCCCTGAAAGAGGAGTTGTTTAGTATCAGCCAACTCTAGAGTAATAAATAAGGAGAGAAACCCAGGCTTCTTAGAGAGAGAGAGAGAGACAGAGAGAGAGAGAGAGAGAGAGAGAGACAGAGAGACAGAGAGACAGAGAGACAGAGAGACAGAGAGACAGAGAGAGAGTGTGTGTGTGTGTGTGAAAGATTCAGAGTCACAGAGCACCAGGTCTGCTAGATTCCTGATGGGGCAAGGCCAGCAGGGCCAATGGAAGAACTCCATCTGAGCTGAGTTGAAGTCCCGGATCCTACTGGTCTCTATCACCAGCTTCATAACATTGGGCCACTCAAGTTTTCTCTAGGGAGACTGGCCAGAGAATATTTCTCATTCTGCAGGCAAGCTGCAAGATTCAACACCCAGAGGCAGCCTGGGGATGGAGCTGCTAGTACCTCACTTGCCAGCCCTAGTTTGAATGAGGGGCTTCTATGAAGCCTGAATAATAAGTCCCTTCAATATGCCACAGTGTCCCAGAGCAAAAGGTGAGAGTGAGTGGTGTTCTCACTTACAAGGTCCCAGAACCTTTCACAGGCTTCCACAGATGATTAGTGGGGAATCTGGGCTCTAGATTAAGGCTGTTGGTCCAAAGCACAAGCTTCAGCTCAACGACTTGCAGAGAGCAGGAGGACAATATCATTGCATTTTTTGTACATTACTAACAATGCATTTGATTGATGCTTTTGTACTTTACTAAGTATTTTCGTATCTGCTTTAATTATTTCTTATTTTTATTATTCCAAGTATCTAATGCACAAGCAGCATAGGGTAGTGGTTAAGAACATGGGACTGCATTTCACAACATATACAAATATCAAATCATTATATTGTACACCTGAAACTAATATAATGGCATGTGTTGATTATACTTCAATTTTAATAAAGAATGAAAGAGCTTAGAAGTTGTTCAGTTACTTTTCATAAGAAGTTTAAGAAATCTTTCCTATATAAGACCCTGTTTATACAATCCTAAAATCAATAAAGTAGTTTAAGTTATTATAATAATAATAATAAAGAGCACAGGACTAACTGGATGTGAATCCTACCTCTGCCACTTGTGGCTGTGTTGGCCTCAGGCAGTTTGCTTAAGTAGCTCTGTGTCAGTTTATTCATCTGTAAAATGGACTGATAGTGATAGCTATCCCATAGTGTTGTTATGGTGATAAAAATGAGTTAATAATTATAAAGCACTTAGTTCCTGGTACTATCATAGTGATTTTTACATTCATATTTTGAGTATTGGCATGTATATTTCCACCCTGACAGCTAATAACTATCAGGAACATGTTAGAAACAGCTGTCACGTTTGCTCAATTTGACCTGCTAAATACTTCAGGAATGCTTTCTCTCCCTTTCTTCTCTGCGTTTAGGCACACAGAAGGAGCAAACTGCTTGCAGCAATCCATGCCTTACTTCCTGGTCTTTCCTACTGCGATACTCTGACTCTCAGGGCACGCTCTTCTCTGGCTCTGTTCTACTTGTTCTCTATGACTGTCTAGCCTTAGACCACAAGTTTCTTAACAGCAGAAACTGCCATTCTCTCTGAATCATCAGCATGTAAAACAATGCCTGGCACAAAGAAAACCCTCAACAAACATTTACTGAATTAATGGATGCTTGCTGTGTCCCAGGCAGTATGTAATGGTTGACAAGGGGGATTTTCATTCAGTCCTACCTAAAACTCCATGTGATAATGAGTCCGTCATTATTCCCGTTTTGCAAATAAGAAAACTGAGTCTTGGAGAGGTTAAATAACTTGCCTCCCCAGTCGCATATTTATATTCATACGGCTGTTCTATTCTTTATGTGATAGTCTGCAGTTTATAATGGTGTGGAGGAACGGAAGATGCCAAGAAGCCACCATTAATATCACGTGATGCATGAAGCTATGCTATTGAATTTGCCTGTTAAAAAAGCTGTTGCAGATAGTAACTACACTAGTTGGGGTGAGCATTTAATAATACAGTTAGCTGTCGAATCACTATGTTGTATACTTCAAACCAATATAATATTGTATATCAACTATAGTTCAATAAAAAATAATAGAAATGAAAAAGAGCTGTTCATTTTTACATTGTTCTTAAATTATAGTGTTTTTTCTTTAGATAATTTTTCCTCTTGTATGATGGTAAAAAACGCACATAAAGAAAAATTTGGCTATTTCTTATAACAATCAATTGATCTGTGACTACACTAGATGCTATACTTTATCCCCATCCTATAATATATATGTCAGGAGATTTGGTTAGTATGTTAGCCATACCTTTTCATCTTAAAAGTTCTTTCATGGTCAACTAAATTTGCTAAAGGTTGTCTGTAGCATTGAAATTATGTTACTCTAGGGCACTTAGGGGAAACTTTACAGAACAACAGGAGTGGTGGTGGTGGCAGCAGCAGCTACCATTTATTGAGCACCTACCATGTACCAGACCTACTGTGGTATAAATATTACTTGCACTGTTCCACAGAAGCCCTGTACAATAGCTTCTGTTATTTTCTTTATTTTATGGGGAAACTGGGACTCAGAGAGTTTAACTGACTGACTTGAGATCACTCAGCTATTGAATAGCAGAACCTCGACTGAAATCCAAATTTGTGTATCTCTAAAGCCTGGGCTTTTATCTGAAGCTGGACTTTCAATGCTGCCCAAGTTACTTAACCCTCTCTGAGCTTCAGTTTCCTCATCTGTAAAATTGAGGGAGATAACACACATTTTGCTGTGTTACTGTGAAGATTAGAAATAATAGATGCCCAGGGCCCCAAGTCACATAGTAGGTAGGCATTTAAACCACGGTGGTGATGTTTTTGCATTACTGGGGCGTTATGTCCGCAGACGAAGACCTGAGATCCCTTTAAAGGCACTGGGGAACTGGATAGGAGGGATCTATGGCCCCAGCGGTCTTAAGAGCTGACCCTCTCCCTTCCGGAATACTGTGACCCAGTGAAACTCTGAGCTGCAGGCGAGGGGTCAGGGGCCTGAATTTGGCTCCAGCAACCTCTGCAGGGAGTTGGGAGAGAGGCGGGGAGCTGGGAGGGGCGTAGAAATCTCTGTCATCAGAGGACTGCAGGTGTGAGGCAAGGTTGGTGTAGGTGGGCTCCCAGAGACTGGCAGAGGGAGAGGGCGGGGGAGAGAGGAGGCGGGGCGCGGAGCCTGGAGGCTGTCCTTACACCGCTCTTCTCACGCCGCCGTGCCTTTTGCTGCATCTGGAGGCGCTCACTGGATAATCTCCAACAGCGGAGCGGGCCTTCAGCTACCGTAAGTACCTGAAAATGAGCGCGTATCCAGTGGCTGAAGATAAATGCTGGCCATCAGATCCTAGACGAAACCCCGAAATAGTCTCTCTGCTGTAACTGACTGCCGTGAGCCAAACTGCTCCCCAGCCTGTCCCCCCAACCCCATTCGTCTCTCCCGTTTTTTCTCTCCTCCCCAGATCCCAGGCTCGCCTCAATAAGAAGCTCTGAGCACTGTAGATCTCTTCCCCTTTCTTCTGAGTCTTCTCTTCCAACCCCCGGGAAGCATGTACCCAGCACCCCGCCGAGCCCAACCCCTTTGATTCCCGGACCTCTCAAAGCTATGCAGGCTGCAAGGCATTAGACATTTCGGGTATGTCACCCTCCAAAGCACTGCAGGCGGGGCCTGAGGGTGGGGAATGTGCTCAGGGTGGAGTAAAAGAGGAGGGAAATAGGAGACAGACGAAGGTGGGGGTGCGGAGTGAGGGGGGGCGGTAAGAGGCCAAAAATGGGCGTGGCCAATTAACCTGGCGCTTGAGGCTGCTTTGCACTTTCCCTGCGCGTAAGATTAATCATTTGATTGGATATAAATAGTACAGTTCCCTTCAACCATGCTGAGAAGCTTCCAGGAGGCAGAACCCTGGTTTAGGGGTCCAGGTGGCTAGGCTGGAATTTCAGATGGATTCCCTGGGGAGGATCACAGGTTGAACCTTTCCCTTGGCAGTAGAACCTGGCTTCTGCAATAAATCCTGGCCCAAAGCCTCAGAGGAACAAAGCAACAGGGTGGCACCCAAGTCTGGGCTTGGGCTTGGGCCTGGGCCTGATGGCCCTGAAAGAAGTGGAGACAGGGTCTGTAGGAGCTGAGATGGAAAGTGCATTTTAAGGGTTCTACACTAGGTTGATGGCCCTTTTGGGAAAAAGAAAAGTAGCCACCTTTTTATGATATGTTCACTATGTGCCTGGCACTGTGCATATATTATCTCTGATCCAATATAACAATGGTAGGTAGATATTATTCCCTAACTTTACAGATAAGAAAAGTACAGAGAGCATCTCTTGATGCAAAGTGAGAAATGAAAAGGAAACCGTCTTGTAATGCAGACTGTCCACCTGCTTCCTAGAGCTCAGATGTTTACATAAATCTTCCGCTTTTCCTACTCCTCCATTCCACCCAGCGTTAGCTGACTGGGATGAAGTTAGCGGCTGAGGTACTGGACTAGTTTGGAGAAGTGAAATCAGCTCCTTTCTATTCTGGAAGCTGCCTTTACCCCCACTCTACTCAGGTAGGTTTAAGCAGCTGGGGTCAGCCAGGAACTCAGACTCTGAATAGAGAGTTGGTGGAGGAGAGTTAGCCTGACTTTGCCTTTCCTTGGCAAAAGGGTACTCTGGGGATACGGGGAGAGGCAGGGAAGAATAAGTGGTCTACCTTATGGACATACAGGGCCTGTGGTCAATAGTGAGTTTCAGGAAAATGAGATGGCCTCCCTGAACTCAAATATCTTTACTATACTCCCTGAAATTCAAACATTCTTTTTATCCTTAGGGACAATGAACAAAAATGCTTACAGATTGCTGGCAGCCAATGAATCATTTATATCTTATATTAATCAGCTCAAGCAGTTTGATTCCCCAACACTAGTTGAGATGGTGGTTTTGAGCTTTTGGGCACAAGAAATAGGAATGACAGTAATAATGCATTTGAAGCCTTCCATGGAAGGGAAGTCTGGATGGGATGAGATGGGGAAGGGGAGGAGGGTGAGAAAGGGGGAAAGGGCTGCCTTAGGGAGTTTAAATACCAGTTTAAGAGCATAGGCATTGATTGGAGTTAAACATGGATTTGAGTTTGGCTCTGACATTTGATATGTTTTGACTTTGGGAAGATTATATGTCCTCTCTAAGCCTCAGTTCCTTGCCCGCAAAATGAAGATGGTGGGAAGGCCTCCTTTGCTAGGTTGTTGGATGACTTGGACAAAATATATATACATATACATATATGTATATACTTGTGTGTGTGTGTGTGTGTGTGTGTGTGTGTGTGTGTATGCAAAGGATCTGAAAAGGTAACTCTCTGCACCTCCTATATCTGTCATCCCATGGGGCTTCTTTCTGCTGGCCTGGATTAGATCACCCTCTGGACCTTGGAGATCCCAGGGACAAACAGACGTTTCAACAAATATGACATCTTAGATACGAGCAGAGACCTTGATGGGAGAAGGGGAAGTGGGGAGAAGGGGCAGGTGACCTTGTATGCCTGTGATGGAGTAGAAGGTAGGGTTGTCAAGTACAGTTTAGTGATCCAAGCTAAACTTTAAGGAGTAGGACAAGTGTCTTGAATACAAACACCTCTGCTTTTAGATCTCACCAGCTGCTGTGGGGCAAAGCTCTTCAAGACCTGAAGTGCACATTGAGCACCAGAGGCCCTATGACCCTGGGCAGGCCAGGGGAGGGGGCCACCATGCTTCGGACATTCACTCTCTTGCTCTTTTGCATTTGTGAGTACAAGGAAGGGAGGAGGGGCAAGTGACCTGTCATAGGTACCCTTATGAGTGGGCACCTTGGGGAGGTAGAGGAAGGTATTGAGGGTTGGTGGGGACAATGAGGGAGCCCTTCTTAACCATAATCTCTCTTTTCAGGGCTGAGTCTGGGTATGACGTCAATAGGTAAGTGAATCCTGCCACCTCAGGTATGTTCTTTCCTGAAGGCTCCAAGACATCAGCTACATCCGTGACCCAAAGACAATTCCCAGATTGAGCCAGTTGGGAATCAGAGGCCCTCACCTTATGACTTGGTTTCCCACAGAATAGTACAGAACTTTATCTCATATGGAAAGGAAGCCAGACTTGCACTTTATTCCCCAACTTACTGGGTCCCTTGAACAAATATCCTGAGGTCCCTATCCCACCCCCTACATGAGCAGACACTCCTGTCCTCAAGAGAATACAAGAGGAGGAATCTGGGTTGGGGCTAATTTTAAGGGACATTGTGGGGCACATTATGGGAAGGAGAGGGTTAGACTGCTCACATCTTTGTGATCTTTGGGAATGACAGCAATGCAGTCTCAGCCGGAGCTGTGGATAGAGACCAGCTACCCCCAGGCTCCTTGGGAGAACATCACACTTTGGTGCAAAAGCCCCACTCGGATTTCAAGCAAGTTCCTGCTGCTGAAGGATAAGACACAGATGACCTGGATCCGCCCTTCCTACAAGACCTTCCAAGTTTCATTCCCCATAGGTGCCCTTACTAAGTCCAATGCAGGCCTTTACAGGTGCTGCTACTGGAAGGAGACAGGCTGGTCAAAGCCCAGTAAAGTTTTAGAGTTGGAGGCACCAGGTAAGAAGACAGAGATACACAATTGAACTCCAGCCCCAGGAATTCAAACTTACCTTCTCAGAGCAGGATTTGTTCGACTAAGTTCATTTGTTTACCTCAGATGCATACACGCAGGCATTCTACAGTTAGTCAATAAGTGTCTGCTATCTCTAGACAATGCAGAGTGAGGGTTGCAGACTCTGCAACAGATCTAGAGCGCAGGCTTCCAACATAAGGGAGACCTGAGATGAGGGAAGAAGGGGTGGCAAATAAGGATCATACAGGGAAGAGCTCTCCTCTGCTGCTCCCTGAGCAGCACTATCCTTGCTGTACCTCAATTCCAGTTCATTCTCTTCTTCCAGGCCAGCTGCCCAAGCCCATCTTCTGGATCCAAGCTGAGACTTCCCCTCTTCCTGGATGTAATGTTAACATACTCTGCCATGGCTGGCTGCAGGATTTGGTATTCATGCTGTTCAAAGAGGGATATGCAGAGCCCGTGGATTACCAAATCCCAACTGGGACAGTGGCCATATTCTCTATTGCCAACATGACACCTGAGAGTGAAGGGGTTTACATCTGCCGCACTCATATCCAGATGCTCCCCACCCTGTGGTCAGAGCCCAGCAACCCGCTGAAGCTGATTGTGGCAGGTGGGTGTGGCTATGGCTGCTGGGGTCTGATGATCGTTGTCCCTGGGATCATGGTTGGATAAATAGGGTTTCTGATTTTACTTCCCTCTCCCATTTCCAAGGCCCTGCAAGGCTCATGAGCTACAGTCATTTGCCATTTTACTGAGATGCAAATTAAAATCACACATGCTAGGAGGCAGATGTGTGGGAGCCAATCACTTGGCTAGTGAGTGAGCCCAATGTTCAGCAGCTGCAGTGCATCATAGCTTTGTTGTTCTCTACTGTTGACTATCATACATTCATTCATTCATTCATTCAGCTAATATTTATTGAGCACTTAATTTGCAGTCTTATAAACTGATTTTTTGCATTTTAAATATATTTTTATTCTACTTGTGATTACTATTTTTAAGTGTGGAAAATAGAATGAATTGCTAGTTCCAGTGATAAAAAATGACAAGCAAAATGATAGTTCATATTTTAGAAATGATTCTATGAATTGCTACATAAGCTCTATATATAGTCCTATATATATAGACCCCCTAAACAGTATCAAGCTTTAAACACAGCAGAAGTCTCCCCAGGATGCCCAAATGCCAGACACACAGCCCAGCCCCAACTCTTTCACCCCATGACCTAGATACTTCTAGACAGAATTGGCCACATTTGCTTTAGTTCCTCCATTAAGTTAAATAGGCTTCGGGAAAGGTGTGGTGCTACAGAAAGCATCCTGGACTTAGAAGCAGTAATCCTGGTTTCTGGTTCACCTCTGACACCACCTCCCTGTGTGATCTTGCGAAAGTGACTTCATCTCTCTGTGCTTCGGTTTCCTCCACTCTAAAATGGGATAACAGTACCTAAACAGTCTACTGTGTGATGTCTCTCTGTGCCTCAGTTTCCTCATTTGCAAAATTGGTATAATAATAATGCCTACCTCACAGGGTTGTTGTGAGGATTTGCCTAAATACAGTATATGTACAGTGCCTGACACGTAAGTTCTCAATAAATGGTAGATATCAATTTTATTAGTATAGCTTTTTATTGAGGAGCAAAGAACAAAGGACTGTCTGAATTGCGTGTGTGGTGTCTGTTGTATGAATGTCCTTCTAGCATAGATTCCACCAACACATACCTTCGCAGTTAGGCGTTCACTGGTGTCTCCCACTAGGCCATGAGCTTTTGGCTGCAGGGACTGTCTTCTTTACTTGTATATCCTTAGATCTACATGATGCCTGACACATCCTAAATGCTCAAAGAGCATGTGATGGGGCTGCTCCTCCCAATCATGTATAGGTGGGTCACCTGAGATTGCCGGGGTGGGGAGGAGGGGTAAAATGGAGTGGTAGAGGAATGAGATTTGCTCTATATTTTATAGTATTATCTCTTTGGAGGGACAATACATGGGAATTAAATGTGGTCCCGTTAACAGAGATTTCTTTGAGTTGCAGACTTACTGACCAATTCCTCCTTTTTGGCTTCTTCCAGTCTCCTGTCGGAAGTAGGGCATGATGTGGGCTTAATGTGTTCAAAAGCTGTCCTTAATACTATAGTAGCATTCATACTACACAAAGATGGAATCAAAGTTATTTTCAGAAATTTGGCTTCTCAGCTGGTTAGAAGAACTACATTTGGCATTTCAGGACCCTGAAGATACAGGGAATTAAAGCTGTAGATATTCCACTGAGACATACCCCTGCATACAGTTAGAGCTCAGTAGAACTGATAGAATCTTTGAGAGGGCAAGAATATAAATGAACTTCCCCTTGATTACCTCCTAGAAAAGGCAGGGATTCAAGAAAGGGAGTGGGAACAGAGGGCAAACTTCAGATATCACTACTCCCCGGCTAAAGAAACTAGGAACATAAAACCAGAAGATAATAGGGAAAAATCATCCTACCTCTAATTCAGGGTCTCTTTCCTTTCTAGGGCTCTATCCCAAACCAACTCTGACAGCCTATCCTGGGCCCATTATGGCACCTGGAGAAAGCCTGAATCTCAGGTGTCAAGGGCCAATCTGTGGAATGACCTTTGTTTTTAATAAGGCTTGAAGACTTAGACAAGTCCTTTTATTGCAAGAGGCCAATAAAAAAATGAGGCACATTTCTTCTTTCAGGCTTTGAAAATCCATGACACTGGACATGACCTCTGTTTTTACTATGATGAGTCACACAGGGGTTCACTCCTTAGTGATATCCTGAAAATATGGGTAACTGGTAAGAGGGGTATGCCATGGACCCTCTAGGTCACCTGGGGAACCTCATCATGCATCCCGGGATAACAGTGGGAAAGGGAGCAGAATTCGTACAACTAGGCTTAGGAAGGGATTTGCCAGGGGTGGAATGGAGGAAGAAGAGGTAAAGAACTTTAAGCAGCGGGAGAGGGAAGTGAGGCTATTAGACCTTTATATTTTGGATTTCATCCTAGACACGTTCCCCAAGACCTGGCTACTTGCTCAGCCCAGTCCTGTGGCCCAAATGGGTCAGAATGTGAGCCTATGGTGTCAAGGGCCAGTGGATGGAGTAGGGCTTGCACTCTGTAAGAAATGAGAGAAGGATATCACCAGCGTCAATGATGGCAAGTCATTCTTCCTCAACAATGTGACCTATAATGATGCTGGAGTCTACAGTTGCCACTGTCTCCTTTCCTGGAAGACCTCCATCAGTATGATCTCACACAACACCATGGAGCTTGTAGTTGTAGGCAAGTGCTAACAACTGTTGTTATTTGTTTTTAATCATTAGTACAGAGTTCTAAGAAGGATCCACTGGCCCTATAACCTCTTGGAGTTACGAACCAAGGAAAAACACACTAGGAGGGGGTTGGAGAATTTTTTCCAAAAACATTAGAGACAAAACCTTTTCTTCCAGGATTGTTACTCAAGCCCTGCCTCTCAGTATGGCCTAGCCCCATTGTGACCCCTGGAAAAGTTATTTTCCTTCAGGCTAAGGGGGAACTTACAGGTATGAGCTCTTCCTGACTGAAGTTAGGAACCCAGGAGTCTCTAAAGCACTGAGAAGTGGGCCATGGGGTTCTGATGCACAAAGTTTGAAGCCACTGATCTAGTGGAAGTAAAGAGGAAGAAAAGATCAAATAGGGAGCTGAGAAACATTTATTGGGGGAAGGAGCACTGACTTCAAGTACACTTTTTTTAAGCTCTGATCTCTGGATTGGTTGCAGATAAGCCCCCCAAACCCTCTCTGTCAGCCTGGCCCAGCACCATGCTCAAGCTAGGAAAGGCTCTTGTCCTTCAGTGCCAAGTACCTCATCCAGTACTTGAATTTTCTCAGGAATGGGAAGAGAGAATAGCATTCCAAAAATTCTCAGTGGATGGAGACTTTGTCATCAGTAATGTTGAAGGGAAAGACACAGGGACCTACAGTTGCAGCTACTGCATAGAGGCACTCCCTAACATCTGGTCACATCACAGTGAACCTCTGAAGCTGACGGGGCCAGCAGGTGAGAGGGCGACTCCTCATGAGGATGCCCTTCTATGGCTTCGACCATGATCCCTGGGATCCCAGAGCAGTGCCCAGAAAAATATGGCATGGGGAGTCAGGGGCTTGTAAGTCGGGGTCTTTGGGTTTGGGCACCCTTTCCCTGGGGTGGTCTCACAATCAGTCAAAGGCAGTGAGCGGGATATTTTCAAGGTGCCCGTTCTTCCTGCAAAAGAAGGCCACTTCTGTCTTGCCTTCCCTTGCCTTCAGTGAGCAGCTCCCCATCCTCCCCACGAATGTGTTCACCTGCCCCTGTCCCCATCAAAGCCCCTGCTTCTAATCTTCTCTGGCCACAGGCTTTCTCACCTGGAATTATGTTCTGAACGAAGCTATCAGGTTGTCCCTAATCATGCAGCTGGTTGCCTTGCTGTTGGTAGTGCTATGGATAAGGTGGAAGTGTCGGAGACTCAGAATCAGGTAACTGCTTTGTTCCAGCCCCTGACCCTGTTCCTCAGTTTATGAGTCCAGGTTACTCAGAGACTTAGGAATGGGTCAAATTCCAGTTGACACCAGCCATAGGGGCACACCTTTTGCATCCCACACCTTCTGGGCTTGAGAGATGAGACTTCCTCAGCCCAGCTGCTTCTCTTTCACTTCAGAGGGGTCAGCTCCCAAGCCAGAGGGTAGAAAAACATAATTCTCAGAGGCTGGAGAAGTAATCAGAACCCCATTCACTGACACCGCCAGGAGAGTACCTAAATATCTCTTCCAAACCACCCTACACCTCAAAAATGATTGATGTCTCCCATATTGAGTTAGTCTGAACTTCTGATCTTATAAGAAGCTATGATGTCCTGTCTCCCATGATGATGTCCAACTCCCATTCCAAATTTTCATCCTTTTTAACCTCTCATTCTAAAGGGCTAGAGGAACTTGTGGTCTGTCCTAGTTGCCATAGAAACCAGTCTCTCCACTGCTGTGGTCTCCAACCACCCGTGCAGAGCACTCTGACAATATAATCTTAATCTGGCTGGGCACCTGATGAGGCAGTGGATTGTGCCAGGGAATCACACTGCTTCCTTTGAGCCATAAAAGGGTGAGCCAAACAGGCTCTTCTGCCATTTCTTTTGATTCCGTGGTGTCCCATGGGCCATTCCCCTCTCTCTCAGATCCCCTTGGCCTGTGCTCAGACTATTCTGCTTGAAAATGAGCAGAGAAATGACAGCTCCCAGCTTGGCGGGGCCTCAGCTCCTGAATGCCTTGCCTACTTCCCCTCACCCTCTGTTCCAGGCTCTATCTCGCTCCCTTTCCCGGTGATCATAGGCCTTTATGTGTCTGGGAGCATTCAATGCTCAATGGGTGATGACTATGATTGTGTGTACCTGGGTCTTCCACTGGGCTCTGAAGGACAAAGGGTGTGGGTAATGAGAAGGGAGCCACCTAATCCTTCTTCTAAAATCACCCCTCTTTGAGTTTTCAAGAAGTTTCAGGGTGGGGTCAAGTTCTAGTTCTCCTTAGAATCTATCCTGAGTCCCACATGCACTGGGGTAACCTCCAAGCCAGGGTTAGAAAAAAATGTAGCTTCAAGTTGCCCCACCTCAGCCTAGGGCCACTGCATCAAAGAATGAGTTCAGAAACCATATTTCCAAGAAAGCAGTGTGAAGAGCATGTTTTCCTGATCAGGAAGAAGGGTCCGTGTTTTCTAAGTAAAACTTGTCAAATGGATTTTGGCTTAATATCATCTAATTGTACAGGGCCCAGAACCCACAGCTGCTGCACATTTCTTGTCATAATCTGGGTGGGGGTTAACAGATCCCACTCTTTGACAAGTTTAGCTCAGCACTGACAATCCTCTGGTAATTCACCCCGGCTGCCTAGGCAACCCTTCCATAACGAAGGCAGGTGAGGCAGGTCGGTCTGAGGACCAATACTGCATAATAAAAACTGCTTCCAAACTTAAACTTGATGACAAAGAAACACCCAAGATTTCTTCCTCCACCCCCACACCCACCACCCAGAGCTGCAGATCACATGGAGCTCCAGGGGTTCTGAGAGCTGGAGTTACAAAAGCATTTTACATCTGACATCTCAATTCCAGCAACAGCCTAATCAGGGGCCATGGGGAGCTGACATCTGATACAGGCTGGGGAGGGGGAGGGGGCGGGGGCACGAGGGTCATGAAAGAGCAGGAGGTTTGTAGGTGGTGAGGCCCTCAAAAAGAAAAGTCATCGATGTCAGAAAAGATTATATCCCATTATCCTGGCCATATCCAATCCCTATTGGGTGGTGAGGAAGCCAATGACATAAATTGCCGCCCCCTTCTCTCCGCCCTCCCCTTAATCTCAGCAACTCCTCTCATCTCTTTTCTGGTCTCACTAGAGAAGCCTGGTTGCTAGGAACAGCTCAAGGGGTCACCATGTTCTTCATAGTCACGGCCCTTCTCTGCTGTGGTGAGTACAGGGGGGTGGGAAAGGGGCCTGGACAGAAGGCCGGGGAGAAGTCCCGTGGGGGAGGGGACAGAGCCCTGGCAGCAATTTCTTTTGCAGGACTGTGCAATGGGGTATTGACAGAAGAGACTGGTGAGTTTTGCCTGCTCCAGACTGGGACATTCCTCCCTGGAGATCCGAAATAACTACAGCGTGTCAGTGTCCGTGGCCAGGGCGTGACTGGTTGGGAGAGAAGGACAGCCAGGAAGGGGCACTTGCTAAAGCTGCTGGCAAATTCAGCCTCTAACTCTGCTTTTCTGCCTGCAAAATTTCCCCCAAGCTTCTGCACTTTTCTGAGACTCAGCTGAGACCTCAGCTTCTCTTTTTCCCCAGCACCTGTGGAAGGAAAGAGTTTGGATTTGGGTTGAAAGGGGACGTGGGCAGTGTGATCTGGGTAGGGAGTTCGAGGGTAAGGAAAGGGAGAGAACTGGGGGAGGGAGGATGGCTTCATTAACTCTGCTGTTTCTAGAAATAATCATGCCAACCCCTAAGCCTGAGCTCTGGGCAGAGACCAACTTCCCTCTGGCCCCGTGGAAGAACTTAACCCTCTGGTGCAGAAGCCCTTCTAGCTCAACTAAGGAGTTTGTGTTGCTGAAGGACGGGACCGGGTGGATCGCAACTCGCCCGGCCTCAGTGCGGGTCCGGGCTGCCTTTCCCCTTGGCGCTCTGACCCAGAGCCACATCGGGAGTTACCACTGCCATTCGTGGGAGGAGATGGCTGTGTCGGAGCCCAGCGAGGCACTTGAGCTAGTAGGGAGAGGTAAGACAAGGCAGTGGGTCCTCCTGGAATGATCCCCAGTGTCCCTGGAGCGCCAACACTCTTCCTGGTGGCGGGGGAGTGCAGAGATCGCGAGCCTAACGGGCAAGTGCCGCCAGTAGGAGAGGAAGGGCACTGAGGTGGGGGAGGGGGAGGGGAAGGGAGTGAGACGACACTGACGGGAAGAGCCAAAGACCAGTCCGGGATGTATTTCTTTTTTGCTGACAAAGTGACTCCAAGTTTTCCATGTGGGCACCTCCAAACTTCGGACTCCTTGTCTACTCCCATTTTGTTTTCCAGACATCCTTCCCAAACCTGTCCTTTCGGCATCGCCCCCAGTCAGGGGCCAGAAACTGCAAATTCGGTGCAAAGGATGGCTGGCAGGCATGGGCTTTACTCTGTATAAGGAGGGAATGCAGGAACCTGTCCAGCAACTTGGTGCTGTTGGGAGAGAAGCCTTCTTTACAATCCAAAGAATGGAGCATAAAGATGAAGGCAATTATAGCTGCCGCACTCACACTAAAAGGCACCCCTTCAAGTGGTCTGAGACCAGTGAGCCCCTGGAGCTTGTCATAAAAGGTAGAGCTGAAAAAAAGTGTGTGAGGGAGGAGACGGGAGGCAAAGCTCAGACACTCCTCTCCCCACAGCAAACTTTGCTGCTGGTCCTAGGAGCCTGTGTCCAATCTTAGAGCCAGGCAGGCGTGGCACTGGGAGTGCCCGGGACTCTGGCTGCACGATATTAATAGCCCTAATCGTTATTAATAGCTGAGGTTTGTGGAGGGTGATTTAATTTGTCTAATTATTTTCATATCAATTATCTCATTTAGCCAGCAAGCAAATATTCAATGGAGGTGGAGCAGGTACCATTTCCCCTTCTTGCCTAGATGGGCAAACTGTGGCTCAGGGAACCAGCAGAGCCCCAATAAATGACAATTCACTCTTTTAGCTAACCTCCATTGACTGCCCTGTTGTCCTGATGACAGTGAGGATTCAGGTGTAGGAGGTGAGGGATGGGAGTGAAGGGTCCTTCTGCAAAGTGGACTTGCCTTGATTTTTAAATGCATCTACTTCTGGATGAAATACTATAAAACACAAAGCAGCTTCCTGGAACCAAAATTTGCTATATCAGCTATCTTTCTTTTTTCTCAGGTTGTGTTGTGTTTTGTGTTTTGCTTCTTGCATTCTAGAAATGTACCCCAAGCCCTTCTTCAAGACACAGGCCAGCCCTGTGATCTCTCCTGGTGCCCGAGTGACTTTCAATTGCTCCACCCCCCACCAGTACATGAGCTTAATTCTTTACAAAGATGGAAGTGAAATAGCATCCAGTGACAGGTCTTGGGCGAGTCCAGGGGCCAGTGCAGCACACTTTTTGATCACTTCGGTTGGCATTGGTGATGGAGGGAATTACAGCTGCCGCTACCATGACTTTGCCATCTGGTCCGAGCCTAGTGACCCCGTGGAGCTCGTGGTGACAGGTCAGCAACTGGGAAATGCAGGTGGAAGCAGTACTGACCCTGGGACAGGGGATGGAAGGGCTGTCAGGGAGAGGAAAAGTACCTTTCCTAAACTCACCAAGAAAGTGCTTAGGAGAGTGCCTGGTACATGGTGAGCAGTCCACAAGAGGCAGCTGCTTATATTCTTATTAATATAGGAAGAAGAGACAAAGGAGAGGGAGGAGGCAAGTAACTCACTTCTGGGGAAAGAAGTGAGGCCAACAAGGGTGTCCAGTCCCCAGGGCCAAGCTCGCGTTGCCCTATTTCTGAGATCTTTTCGTGGCTTGGCCTTCAGCTTTAGGCTCAGTGTCCACTTTTTCTTTGCGTGGGCTGTCAGAGATTGGTGGGCTGGACGGCCCTCAGGAAAAGTGCAAAGACTTTGAAATGTCACCTGCATATTATGCAGCTATTACAAATGATAGTTTTCAAGGGTTATTTAGCATCATAGGAAAATGTTTACAATATAAAATTGAGTGAAAAATATTAAAACTACACAACTGTGCATACAATAGGATCCCAATTATGCAAATAGTTATATTTTTTCTATACATGACATGGGCATGTACAGAAAGAAAAGAAAAGAAATATATTAAAAAATGTATAAAAAATAGTTATCTTTGAGGAGAATTATATTTCCTTCACTAACTTTTTCTGTATTTTCTAATTTTCTACAATGAACATGTACCGTTTCTTATAATAACACTAAAAAAGAAATTTTCAGAATATTGGAGCAGGCCTCTCTCACATTGTGGTATCTTTAATTTCAGAATTCTACCCCAAACCCACTCTCCTGGCACAGCCGGGTCCTGTGGTACTTCCTGGGAAGAATGTGAAACTGCATTGCCAAGGGGCTTTCCAAGGCATGAGGTTTGCCCTCTTGCAGGAGGGAACCCAAGTTCCCTTACAGTTCCAGAGTGCCTCAGGGAACTCAGCTGACTTCCTTCTTCACACTGTTGGAGCACAGGACTCTGGGAACTACAGCTGTGTCTACTATGAGACAACCATGTCAAACAGGGGGTCATATCTCAGCAAGCCCATTATGATCTGGGTGACTGGTAAGGACAGACAAGACATGGGACTGGGGCAGAGACAAGTGGAGTAGGGGTTAGGGAGGGCAATCCCTCTTGGAGGGCTAGGCTGGGCCTTGGAGGAGAACAACTGTGTCCAGAAGGAGAAAGATAAAGGGTTAATTCAGCGAGTGACATGTTTCCAGACTGACCACTTTACATCTTTGGTCTCTTCCTAGACACATTCCCCAAGCCATGGTTGTTTGCTGAGCCCAGTTCTGTGGTTCATATGGGGAAGAATGTTACTCTCTGGTGCCAAGGGCCAGTGCATGGAGTAGGGTACATTCTGCACAAAGAGAGAGAAGCCACTTCAATGCAGCTCTGGGGATCCACCAGTAATGATGGGGCATTCCCCATCACCAATATATCTCGTACTAGCATAGGGCGTTATAGCTGCTGCTACCACCCTGACTGGACCACTCCTATCAAGCTACAGCCTAGCAACACCCTGGAACTCATGGTCACAGGTAAGAGGAAGATGTTCTGGAGTGGGCATGGGAGTGTAGAAAGGAGGCACTAGCCTGGGAGATTGCACTTGGAAGAGTTCAAGGAGAGGCAGGCAATAGTCTTTCTTCTTTATTGAACAGAGACCCTGGGGATGATGCACTGGCAAGTGGACTCCTCTCTCTAACCAGGAGTTAATTTCTTCTAGGTTTGCTCCCCAAACCTAGCCTATCAGCCCAGCCTGGTCCTATTGTGGCCCCTGGAGAAAATATGACTCTACAGTGCCAAGGGGAGCAGCCAGACTCAACATTTGTCTTATTGAAGGAGGGTACTCAAGAGCCCTTAGAGCAACAGAGGCCAAGTGGGTACAGGGCTGACTTCTGGATGCCAGCAGTGAGAGGTGAAGATTCTGGAATCTATAGCTGTGTTTATTATTTGGACTCTGCTCCCTTTGCAGCTTCTAATCACAGCGACTCCCTGGAGATCTGGGTAACTGGTAAGGCCCTGGAGACTTCAGTAAGAGTCTAGACTTTGTAGTTTTATAATAGTTATCCTAAAGGGGGTAAAAGGCTAGGGTCAGGGCTACTTCTTCTAACTCTGTGTCCTGGTTGGCTGCAGATAAGCCCCCTAAACCCTTCCTGTCAGCCTGGCCCAGCACCATGTTCAAGCTAGAAAAGGACATCACCCTTCAGTGCCGAGGACCACTGCCAGGTGTTGAATTTGTCCTGGAGCACGACGGAGAAGAATCACCTCAGCAATTCTCAGAGAATGGAGACTTCGTCATCAGCAACAGAGAAGGAAAAGGCATCGGCAACTACAGCTGCAGCTACCGCCTTCAGGGCAACCCGGACATCTGGTCAGAGCCTAGTGATTCCCTGGAGCTGATGGGGGCAGCAGGTGAGAGGATAATCCCTCCCTGTTTCTGGCATGATGCACCTGGGATTTCAGAGACAGCCCAAATATGGAGGGGGGAGGGTTTGGAGTCAGAGACCGCAATGTGGTTGCCTTTCTCCTAGGGCTGGTGAGGAGGTGGGACCTCAGATTCAGTCAAAGATAGGAAGCAGGAGACTTGCAAGGCTCTTTGACCCCCAAAAGCGCTGCCTGTGACCATCCCTCTGCAGTGACAGCCCAAGCCTGCCAAGTGACCCCTCAAGGAGGCCAGATGGAGGGCTAATAAGAGATCAAGGGGAACAAATGGGTGTTCACCCCTACAGCCTTGGTTTCTGCTCTTTGCTCATCATAGGGCCTGCTGCCCAGGAGTGCACTGTGGGGAACATTGTCCGAAGTGGCCTGATTGTGGTGGTGGTTGTAGCTTTGGGGGTGGTGCTAGCCATAGAGTGGCCTCGACTCCGAACCAGGTAAATGCCTCATATCTGTCAACCCAGGGCTGCTGGACGAACAATGGTCCGAATGCTCCTCTGGCACCTGGGCCCCTCAGTGCAACCTGTTTTCAGGTTGCTCCTTCTAGCTCCTCCCTCAGTCATGTCTTTTTCTCTATGCAGGGGCTCAGAGACAGATGGGAGAGGCCAGACCATAGCCCTTGAAGAGTGTAACCAAGAAGAAGACTCAGACTCCTGCACCAGTTCTCAGTCATCAATCTCTTAGTGAACTTCAGTGGAACTGCCAATCCCAATATAATCATCTCCTCATTTACAAGACCTTTCCTCTCCTCTCTTTTATCCTCAGAGATCTGCAAATCAGACTGGTTGTGCTGGGAGTCAGCCACATCTACTCTTCCTTGGCCACTAATCACCTGAGCTGGGTCAAGGGGATTCTGGGAGTTGAGAGCTCTACCAGGGTGAGATGTTTCCTGCAAAGAGATTCCCTACCCCTGTAACCCTTCACCATAGTAATCTACCGGTGCATGAAATTCTATTAAAAATGTGTTCTTCTGAATAAAGAGAGTATTCACTATTTAACTGCAGAAACTGTAGCAGTGGTTTTCCATTGGTGTACTGTCCACTTACAATTTAGACAAAATGGTGTTAGGGCAGACATCCATGGCAGAATAAAAGAGCATGGGGTTGCTAATACAGAGAAAGGAGCTTAAGGATCGGGTGGGGGAAGAGGGAGGGCTCCAAAACAGTAGTTCCCAATTTGGTTTGAGACATGGTCACTGAAGAAGATGTCCTATTGTCCTCCTACCACACTACTGAACAGATGGATGCATGGATGGATGGATGGATGGATGGATGGATGGATGGATGGAAGACAGTGTTCTCTCCAAGCTGAGCCTGAGGAGGGCAAACACTGAACATCCTTTTTACCATGTTACTTCTAGGTTTGTAGTACACCTGCTTTCAAACATCAGGATTAGCCTTATGCAGAACTTTGAAATTGAGGCCCTTACCTAACAATCACAGGGTGTATGTTAATTCACTCTTAAGTGTGAATGATTGGTAAAGGCTGAGAACTTTGTCCCTCCTTAAAAGAGCCCTGTTTTCCCAAAGGAATAAGCCTTTGGTGGTGGGATCCAAAGGGAGTAAGCAGGTGAGGTAGTTGGTTTGGATCAGGGAACCTCTTACTGGCTCCTCCCAAGACTCCAGATGGAGGCTGGCTCACATTCTGAGTACCTGATCTTCCCTGGATCAGCATGCCACTTGCCCCATGAGTGGGAATTCAGTACACATTAAGGAGATTGGATTGGGGGAGGAAGCTTACATAGTTCTTCACCTACGGGTCCTAGAGGAGGTCATGGCTCCTTCAAATCTGACCCTAAAGTTCCTTACTTCCAACACTATTTAATTCTAAATTCACACTGTTCAATAGAGGAGCAGTGTGCAAGGGAGTTGCACAGTAAGTTATTTATTCCTGGTTATAACAAAGTTTAGAAAGCAACTCCTGTATTCTTACATTAGGAAGCTTATTTATCAAGCAACTTAATGAAAAAAAAATCCCATTTCCTTTAAGCCTTACAGAATGAAACACTCTGAGTACTATGGACTAATTTGTACTAAGCTCTCTGGAATGTAGCAATACAAAGTCTTACTCTGATTTCCATTTGATGAGATTCTATTAGTTGCTTATACTAATTTCTTACAGTGCTTCTAAAAAATTGCTTTTCAAAAGACCTTTTACATTTGAATTTAGCAAAACCTAATTGTTGCCTTCTGCTGAACACCATCTTCTGCCTTCACACTCTCCATCCCTAACCCTCAATCAAGTTGAACATTTTGAACACTAAAGGAAGAGCCATCCTTGGGCCTTGATTTTAGGATAGAGGTCTTTCGATAGGATCTGATTTTGTTTTCTGATCATTGAGTGTCCAAAAGTGTATTGTCAAGGCTGCTGGTCAGGCTGTGCAAGTCAGTAAGCGATCCCTTGGTTGCTTTAGCTGTTCACCAAAGGAAAGAGAAATGGAAAGAAAAGAGCAGAGGGCCAAGGACTGAAATTTAGAGACGCCTCTGATTTACAAGATCAGGAAGATGGGGCAGAAATGACAGGAAAAGACTCTTGGAAGGTCCAGACACCAAACCTGGGGTTTCCTGTGTCAAAAAGATTCAGAGACACCATACAATCAGGTTTTGATAAACCTTTCAATAAGAAACAAATAGTGATAAATATTGTGACACTGGACTCGTGGTTGGTTTTCTAAAAACACTCACATATACCATTCTTTTACTTAGAGAACCAAGTTCTACATCTTTTAGAAGAGGAAAAATAGTTGTCAATTAACTGTGAAATACTTAAAGACAAAGAGTGGCTTTGGGGTTTAACTTTCCTACTTGCTGTCAGAGCTATCTCAGTGAATTAAATATCTATTTATAATGCAGATGTCGTCACAAACTATCTCAATGAATTAAATATCTATTTATAATGCCAATGTAGCTGTTGCCAACAATGCTCCACGTGGTACTTTTTTCAACCTGGTTGCCATGGGAATCAGTCCCTTTACCCCTGGCTGGCCTCTAATCATCAGCCCAGCATCTGGTAATTTCTGGGAAATGGATTCTTAGTTAGGGTGGAATGGAGTTTTGAGAGGAGAATTTGGCTCTGTGACTCCAGGAACAAAGACCAAAGACCCTCTCCCCAGTTCTAGAAAACAAATATAAATTACCTCAGAACCTGGGACTCACACACCTTTGGCCCCAGCATCTCAGAATACAAAGATCATCAAAATGGTATGGTCCAATCCCCAAGCCAGTACAGAATCTCCTTTATAGCAGAGCTGAGGGGTAGGCACACAGCCTCCTTATGTACACCTTCATGGATGGGGAGCTTACTACTTCATGAGATAATCTGAGAACTTCACATTGATTGATCCCATATTTGCCCGTGTATATTCCTTTCATACCTACCAGCTGTAGTTCTGACACAAGTGGTAACCTGGAAGAAATCTACTTTTTATACATAATAGTCTTACAATGTTTGGAAGATGTGACTTGTCCTCCCTAAATTCAGAATATCTCACTCAGTGGTGCTCCCAGTGTTTGCCCAACATCTCTGTGTAGTTAACTCTCAGTTATGCAGACTTTGAAAAGGACAGAGTTCATGCCTCCCCAACTTCTACCAGATTCAACCAAAGCAGCTCTTCTACATATTTTATATATCTGTTATTATATAGAATAATTATGTAGAATATTAAACAATGGTGAATTGATGTGATGAAAAACAAAGCAGAGAAATGGAATGCAGAAGTGTGAGTTTTGAAGAGAGATTGTTGCAATTTAAAAAGGGTTGTTAATGATACCTCACTGCAAAGGTATCATTTGACTTACGATTTGAAGGGCCTGAAGGAGCAAGCCATGCAGATATCTGGGAAAAGTGGGATCTGGTCAGAGAAAACAGCATGTTCAACAACCCTGAGCCAGGAAGAGTGCCTGGCTGGTTTGAGGAACTGTGACTACACTGCAGTGGCCAGAACTGAATAAGCAAAAGGGAGAGTGGAAGGCAATAAGGTCAAAGACATAATGGGAGCTGGGCCAAGCAAGACCTTTGTAGGTCTTTGTACAACTTTGATTTACACTCTGAATGAAATATGAAGCCACTGAAGTGACATGGTCAGGCTTACATTTCAATAGCACCATCCAGTCTTCCCGGTGGAGAATAGACCAAAGGGCAATGGTGGAAGCAGAAAGATTTGCTAGGAGGCTATTGAAAAAATCAGGCAAGAGAGAGTTGGTTAGGTCAGCACAGTAGCAGAGAGATGGTGAGAAATGTTTGGATTATTGACATAATTTGAAGAGAGAGCCAACAGGATTTGCTGACAGATTGGACGTGGGGTATGTTCTATAAACATTTTCGTTCAAGGAAAGAACTGTTCAAATACTGCCTCAGTGATTCCCTCCCTCGGTTATTTTTATCTTATCCTCAAGAAAGGATTTCCATTGTCTCCCAATCTAGGTCATCATTCTGGACAACATTGTAAGCAAAATGCAGTCCTGTACCTCAGAAGTGATCTGACCAGCACAGAGTACAGAGGACAGTGAAGCAGTTGTTTTCCAGGATCTCAATTCACCATTCCTATTAATACTATCTAAAATTACATTAGTAGTCCCTGGGCAGCCAGATCACACTGCTGGCTCAAAGGCAACTTGTGGTCAACTAAAACCTGCAGCTCTTTTTCACACAAGCTTTTGCCAATTCAATTCTTTCTTGTCCTTAATTTCACAAGTATGTGTTATTTTGCAATTGAGTTTTTAACTCAGATTTAAGACTTGACATTTATTCCTGTTAGGTTTCCTATATTACCACTTAGTGAGCCCCCATGTGTATGCCACACATCTAGGCACTACCTCATTTACTCTTGAAAATAACCTCATGCAGCCCCGTACATTATTATCCCCATTTTACACATGAGGAAGCAGAGGCTCAGAGAGGCTAGGTAACATGCCCAAGGCCACCAGCTCATAGCCAAGGATTAAGCTGGAATTAGAATCTAATTTTGCCTGATTCCAAAGCTAGATTCTACTATAGTAATTCTTAGATAACACAGTATGTGGAGCATAATAGGTGTACAACAAATATTTACTAATTTGACCACCTTTGCCCCCTACTTTTTAATTTATTTTATTGATTTGACACTCATATTCATCTCACATTTGTTAGGCTCTGCTCTAGAGCTTTACATTTATTAAGCATCTTAATCATTATAATAAATCTGGGGGCTAGGTGCTATCGTTATTCCCCTTTCTTACAAAGAAGGATATAGAGCCCCATAGAGATTAAGCAACCTGCCTAGGTGACACAGCCAGCAAGTGTTAGAGACAGGATTTGGACCCAGGCAGTCTGGCTCAAGTTGGTTTATAATCACTAAGCTATGCTGTCTCTGGCTATTCTGAGATCCTGAGAGCTGTGCTCTCAAGGGAAGGAGGTACCTTGGTCTACCACTGTGCACTTCAAAATGCTAAACCTGTTGAAGTCCAGTTCAGCCTCCCCCTCTTTTCCATTTCTCTTTCTTATCAACGGAAGCTGGGCTCTGGGCTTATTAAGAAGAAAGACTTGTTCATGTCCCCAAATTTAGTCTTAATCTCTCCTTTCCCTCCCAGAACTCCATGCCACTCTACTCTGCTGTAGACCAAATTTTTCAACTTCCCTCCTTAAGGAGGCAGCCAATGTAATGAAAGGGTCTCCATTCTGCGGAAATCCCTGAAAAGGAAACCACATGGCTGGTGGTGGCAAGTCAATAAAGAACTGGAGAAAAAGGATATTCTTTCAGTCCCCTCCCCAAACCTCAACAATGGGCCCTAGCTGAGATCATCATACCAGACTGTGGCTAGAGTCCTGTTTTAAACTGGGTGTGGTCACGGTGTGTGGAGAACCTCAACCATTCACCTGAGCTATTGGCTTCTAACAGATGACTTTTGTGAGAAAATCCCTTGTTATTTTAGAAGACCATTTCTGGCACCATATGCTAAAGGACCAAGGATAATCTACATGACATCATAGGCTAGCAGAATGTACATCAGGAGTTAGG